AGGGCACCCGCTCTACACCCCCACAACGATCAGGTAAAACGCGGGGGCCATCACCGATGCTCGCGTTTATGCGATATTGACCCGACCATATGCTCGTTAGTTCCCATAACATTGCCATCCCATCGTTTCTGATACATGCGGTGATATCTAGACAGAGGCAGCAACAGGTAGCTGCATCATTGTTTTAATCACGTCTCAGATAGGCGAACGATTTGCTCGATCATATAAATTTCAATTAAGTATTTAATCTCAAGTCATTCGCGCTACGTCATGTCCCTTTTCTGCTCATTGATTAGAAATCAATGAAGAAATATTTATCAAATTTTCTATGTAAAATCATAATCTATGCAAGATTTAAAAATTTAATAAAATAATTATAAATTATAATTAATAATTATAATAAATAAAATAATAATTATAAATTATAATTGTGTGTATGACATAAAAAAACATATACACACATGACTTTAGGATTAATTATATAATATGTCATCAAATTATTGAAGCAGTATGGAAATGAACAGATAGAAATCCATTATGTTAAAATAATATTGTACTAAAAGAACAAGATATTCTTACAAAATTATTGTCTCGTAGAATATTTAAAGATAAACTATAGTTCTGTTAATAATTAAAACATAGTTATTTTCTTAAAATCATAATAAAATCAAATTGTAATCATGTCATTTAAAATCAAATACATTTGTGAATATGTTATTGTTAAAATAGTAATAATTTTCTTATTTTTCTTCGTTTCCTAGCCTCGATTATTAAGCCGAAAAAAAACAACAAAGCATATATAGAAATATAAGAATAAAGTTCTTTTCATTTTTTATCGTATTTTTTTTTTATGTAAGAGAGAGAAATCGTTTACAAGAGTAGTTATAAACGAAAACGGAATGGAGTTTTATTCTCGAATGCGAGGAAGCCAGGAGAATTTGGTAAAAGGCTGCCTTCTGAGGAACCGAAGCATAGAAACGATGAAGTCAGTTCGAAACTTCGAGCTTATCCTCCATTAACGCGGTTTTCCACAGTAACCTAGGTTGCCAGTCCTTCCTGCGTCGGCATTATTTTCTATTCCGAGCCCGATTCGAAATTTTGACGGGGCTCATGGTGCCTATAGTGCACAGTAAGTCGACCATATGATAACCATGGGATTACGGCGACTCCGTCGGGCTTCCCTTAGATGATCCCAAAGAAGAAGGCGCTTCGCCCACGGAAATGTCAACCTAATTTCGCAAGATTCTTTCCTGCGATTAAGAGGAATCCGCGCTTCTTTCTTGGCTTACAACGGTCTTCCATCAAAGACGAAGAATAGTAAAATTTCGTTCATAAAACTTTCGTCCCTAGACCTTCTGTAACGAGTCTATCATTTCACGCAGGAATTGAGCCATCTAACTTGAAAATGATGGGGAAGAGAGATAAAGCTTTCTCTATTTTTCTAACGTTTGTAAAAAAAATCAATTTTAATTAAATTTCTGTCAAATTATTTTCAAAATTCTCTATCATAAAAATATACTTTGCAAAATATATATATATATGAAAAAGACAAATTTTTTTTAATAAGTAACAAAATTATTATAGTTGTGTAAGAATAAAATAAAATTTAATAACGATTCTTGAAAGTAATTTTGCCAGCAATATAGGTGCGAAACAAAACCGAACCATCGGTTCTCTTTATCTTGCTAAACCATGCTAAAAACTGAGATCTTTCTGAGATGTTTTGAGGTATTTCTAGGAACACTAAGCACACAAACGAGCTACAGAGAGATGGAGCGATATGTTTGAAAAAATATGAATGCGTGGCTTAAGAACTTTCATAGTAACGTACATGAACAGAGCTAGTCTTTCGAAACCTCGTTAAATGCAATACCAGTAAAACAAGGCGTAAACACTGAATGGCCGTCCGGTGGGATTATCTTTCGACTGGTCGAAACAGCGCAGGTCACGCTGTGATGCCGGGAGATAGCGGCGAGACATCACAAGGTCTACGTCACAAAGCTCTACCTGAGCTCTTGCTCTCGCACGATTGCGGATTTGGATTTTAAACACCAGCTTCCCCTCTACCTAGATTTGTTGCTCCGTCGTTGCTACCTAGATTTCCTCTCCTTTTCTCCTCCGCGGAATTTTCTGTTCTCATTTACTTGAAAAAAAACTAGACCACCCGTTGATCCGTTGATACTGCTGACATGATTAGACCGAATTTGTACTAAACTGGCTTTGTACTAAACTACTTCTCATTACCAACTGACCCTATTATCGGTTTCTAAGCGCCGGATCTGGATTTCAAGATACTTTTCGCTCGTGATAGTTTTTGCTCTTGTCCTTTTCTCGTTTTGCTTCGAGCGTGGTCGCTATATATTTTCGTGCATCTATGAGATGAGAAACTCGAGAAAACCGCAAAAAATATTTTCTTTTCTATTCTTATGTTTTTTATATACAAAGTGAGTCACTAGAAATTGCCTTCTAAGATATCTTTATAAATATTGATTTTAGACAAAAAAGTTTAAGACAAAAGTTAAATTATTTTGCAATAATATTATATGCATGAATATGGAATAATGTACATTCTCCAGTTTTAAAATTGTATCTATCTTAACTTCTGCGTATTAATGTATCGCGAATAAAATCGTCGTCAAATCAACGACAATCCACGAGTAAAATGTCACCCTAAAACAACATCGTTCCCCTTAAACTATTATTGTACCGCGTTTTCATGCAGCGCAGAATCCATGCTTCCATGGCCGCCGTGGCGGACAATTGTATTTTGATTTCGGTCCCATTACCAGCTGTTTAGGCGCGTTTGCCTTCTTGACAAAGCGACTCGAATCTCTTACTCGGGTCCGCGAAACTTTTCCCCCCTTCGTGAATACGGCGCAGAACGGAGGAGAGCGCCGTGGCCATTGTCAGGCTCCGTATTCCCGGGACAGTTACGTAGATAATCTCCTATCCCAACATATTGCGCCAAAGCCAAAACGGTGCACGGTCCGACGAGCATTCGGCCTCGTCGGGCCTGCTGCATCTCAATGGCGGCCAAGTCGAGGGTGCAAAACATCTCGAGCCGAGGATACGTCTCTATTCGCATAGAAATTTTTTCCGCCACGCGTTCATGGAACTCTTGAAATGCCAATGTTTGCCGAGAAAAGATCATGGACAAGCGTTATAAACCGTATATTTATATCCATGAGAAAATCGTGGATGAGTGCCGCTAATTCTTAACGATCTGTGATTCACAATTATCTTATTTAATTAATATTCAGTAAAAATATCGTAATAGAAAAAAATACGTGATTAAAAGTGGTCGAAACAATTTTTCCCGAATGAGAATACCGAGAAACAATGTTTAAATAAGTATTTTTATAATTTTTAATTTTCTCAAATTTATATAATTATACAGAAATAATTTAGAAAGAATTTAAAGCATTCATCTTCAATTATTATTAAAGATTCGGTACACATATAAAAGATTAATAACGTACGCGCATTAATTGGGATTATTGAAGAGTATCCCGAGTGTCTCCTGCAACGCGTCACAAAAATACACCTGGTATAATCTATGGAGATAGCATCGCCTCGAATAGGACTCTTTCGGACGAGGGGGAGCGCGATACACCATCGAGAGATCCAATCTCCGCGATATTACATCGGTTATGACGGATTCCTGGCGTAATTCATCGAGTGCAGGAACAACTCGCACCCCAACCCGGTTTCGCGTTTACACATACATACATAGACAGACGAAGGGGACCACGAAGGGATCAGGCACGAGATAATTCAAGATGGAGTCAGGGAGTCAGCCGCGGCGCATCTGCCCACGTTGCTATTATTCCAACGATGTATATGCACTCCGCCGCGTATCTCTTGCTGGCATTTAATGGCGAAATTTTAACAAAAGTCTACTTTTTACCTGAGCCTTCTCTAGGCTCACGCATCAACGAATCTTCAACGGCCGCGGGAGAGAGGGATTTAATTCTGATCTTGAACAGCGCGTCTCTTTACGATGCCGCGTCGTAGGATTATAGATTATTAACACGCCATGACATTACGAGAATTTTTAATGCAGAATTGTTTGATTGTTACGCAAATTTATAGTTTAATTGAACTTAATTTAATTTAATTGTGTTTATAGAAATAAAAGCAATTCTTTTTCTGATTGTTATATTTTGCGTTAAAAAATATACATTTTTGTGCTTTTTAAAAATGAAAATTAATATTAATAATTCTATAATTAAATACATACGTTTTAATACTTTGTTGTATAACTGTTTTGTTAAATTACATGTTTTAAGAAAATAATTTTTATTAAAATAATCAGAAGCAGTTTCATAATAATCTAATATTATATTTGATTTAATAGCAGTCTTGACTTCATCTACTCTTTGAATTTGCTTAGCAAATATTCAAACCTATAAGTGTATGTGTAAATGAATAGATATTCCAAAGCAAAAAATATTTTTAAAAAACACGATAGATAAGAGCGTTCGTGCAGATTTATGATATAAACAAACATTATCAAGAGTAAACGCGAGAGTTAAGATCTATACAAAGAAATATAGATAACAAAAAGATCATGTACGCCACAAGGGGTGCGAAGAAGATACCTTCTTTCTCACCTTCATTCCGGAGATGACTCTCACAAAATAGTGCAGTGGCGGGGATGATGACGCAACCCTCTATCGCTTCGATAGCGGTAGCGTTCAACCCCCGAACACGCGGGGAGCGAACCGCTTCCTTTCGTCAGATCCGCCCTTTGCCGAGGGTAGGGAAATTCTCGGCCAATGAGACGCGCTTTACGATAGCAGGATCTAAGGTCGGCGCTTGGCATCAAAAAGTCTCGATGACTTTCAGTCACATTTCACCCCGGAGTTAGTTCTCAGTGTGCCGCCGCGACCAGAAAGAGTGATGCCATAAATGCGGAAGAGTTAGCCTTTCGGAAAAAGCGAGCGTCCGACTTTGAGAAAAACTCTCTTTGTTGTGCGACGCCGTTCATCATAGTTATTTTGATCCTCGCTAAGAGTGACCGTTGTGTAGTGACGAAGAATGCAGAATCAGGAGTCGCAGTTGCCGCACATGCCAGTGCCACCGCCAAAGATGCCGGCTTCTTCAAGTAAATAGAATCTTTGATTTTATGTTGGTTTAGCAAACTTTTTGTGTTCACTTTTTCTGTTATACGGACAGCATATTGACTTTTGTTGTTACACGTGTAACAATAAAAAGCAAATTACATATCGTTCTTCAGTGAAGGGTTCTCCAAACTCAATGTATGTAACTTCATCGGAATCTACTGCACTAATTTCGATATTTTTTGTTTCGTAAAAATATTGTATAATTTTTTAATATTATTATATTTCATTATTTAAAAAAAGATAAAACTTGACGCGAGCGACTCAGCTATGTTCCTTATATATTTATTACAAAACAAAGTTTTATTTTTATATTTTTCTACCTAGATGTGATATAAGAATAGATATGCCTCCAAATTATAATGCGCAACTAATCATAATAGTCTTTAAGATTAAATTTTCTTGTAACATATTGCGCACTCGCTTATTAAAATCGCGATCACACGAGTGTTAAAATAATAGACATTAACGGACATTGTATCAGAAGGGTTGATTGTTTCTTTTTATTTTAATTTTCTATGGACGGTTTAACGATCATCACAACGATTTTTTTTTTTTACTCGGAAAAGATTTCACATAAATAATGTAAGGGCAGTTTCCTTTCTCTTGCAAATGCTAAAAAGAAATTTTGTTGCCGATATCGTATTATTTATAACACTTATTAATATTCAATGACAGCAGAATTATAATAAGAATAATGGCAAGATGAGCAATTGTCAGGATACAAAGATAAGACAATAAGACGTCTTTAAACCGTTTTCTAGACATCCTTTAGGAATATGTATTGTCTGGGATCGTGCAAAGATATATTCCATAATAATTCCAACGTGTCAATAATTCATAACTTTACAAGTTTATAGCCATCATAAAATATCAACATTATTTAATTTATAATTAACATTTTTGTTTTATGCTCTTCTTGTATCTTGACAATCGCTCAATTTGCCATCATTTTTACTACAATTCTGCTGTCATTGAATATTAAATATTTGAATGTACAAATTTATATTTTTGATTTTGATGATACTAACGATCGGTCTTTCATTTTCGTTTAGAGTTATAGTGTGAAGTAAATGATGAATACAAGAGCTACGACAGCAAGTGATAAATTAACAACATCCAAAATCTCTATATCTAGTCAGTTTTAAAATTTGTGTGACAATTAATTATAAGAATCTTTTTTGAGTTTGCTTCTACACTCTTAAAGATGAGAATACAAAATATTTATTTGCAACACGTGTAATTAAAAAGAGTGAATAAAGAAACTCGTCTTACAACCCGAATAGACTTTTTTTTCGGTAATTATTACAAGCAATCCTAATTTCGGTTTGGAATTTTGAAATCCTTCTTTACAAGATCCTGTATACATATACGTGTTTATCGGTGACTTTAAATTCTTACCTGAAATGTCATTATTCTTTGAAGTATGCTTTATTGCCGTCAACACAAAGATAGGTCTTAAAACGGTCTGTGACGTTATACTGGTGTTAAATTTAAAATTAAACAATAAAATTTTCACACACTTCTATACGTATATTATATAATACTTATAGACTATGGCCCGTATTCAGAACGCGCTTGTAATGTTAACGCATTGACAAGTCGAGATATAAATATAAATAAAATAGAAAGAATAGAGCTGTTTCTTAAACACGCGATAACAACCAATAACAAAATGCTCGATACCGTGCAAACATAACATAACAAACATTGACTTGTCAGCGCGCTAACATCATTGTGCGCGCGTCTGAATACGGACGAATATATATATGTATATTAACACGATTATGCCTTATATGGTGAGATGTGAAACAAAGGCAGCCATTTACAATTGGGCAGAATGTAATATATACAGTGTATATATAAGCAAGTGTAAGAATGTAAATGCACATAAAGTGTATATTAACTATTATATCTTGCTCAATTGTAAATGACTGCCTGGCTTTACTATAGTAACATCGCTGTTAGCGGTCTAGATACATATATATATATATGTATAGAAGAAAGAATATTTTTTCTCTGAAAATTCTATAATGCGTACGCATTCCTCTGAAATTACATAAATATCGTATATGTAAACATCGATTGCGGTGTGTTGATTATAATATTCTCGATGGTATCTTACACGGCATGCTAATTTCATCTCGTGTGAAACAACAAACATGTGGTACCTTTAAATATAGCAGACGATCATGCATTTAAAACAATTCATCCCCGGGCGCAAGTCATCCATGAGAAAGTAACGACAGATGGTTTGAAATGATGCGGCGGAAACGAATCACCGTGATGGTCGGCTAACAGGTTGTCGCGGGTGGTTGAGTACAGCGTCACTTGGTTCCCAATCAGTGCAACGCATCGGGCTAATTAGCAAACTAGCGCATGGTTTTACAAAGTAATGTCCCCGCTTTTATTTTATATGTACAAAATATATACATACGTGTATCAGATTCAGTTTTATAACTCTTTTTAATTTAATAAACCAATTGCTATAATAAACATAAATGATACTTAAAATAAGGTAGTTAAACCTGTTAATTATTATCTAATTAAAAAATATATAGAAAGACCACAAACAATCTCGTCGCTTGAAATTCTCGTTGCTTTAAGTTATAAAGTTATGAATATATTTTTGCAAACGCAAAAGAAGGGTAGATCAGTGAAATAAGCAGATGACGTGGATAGTTACCACCCTTATTCTAGATCAATTATACACATAGATATATATGTACATCGATAGCAAGCGGCTGGTTTTTAACACATGTCACTACATTCCCATGCTCGTTTACTGCATGCCACCTGATGGGGCGTGAAATGATAGAATGGCGAGAAATAAGTCGTGTAACCCTATAACAACCCTTGTAACAAAGTCCATTATAAGTCCTTTCGCTCAAATTAAAACGCGCGATTTTTTTAATACCTAAACATTTTATTAATTATTTTTACACCGAGAAAATTTAGTAAATATAATAACAAGTACTTGACACGCACGCGGTTACAATATTAGCGATGACTTTCGATTTCTTCCCGGCGATGCACCCAGATATATTATAAAGTAAAGTTTGTAGAAAAGAAAGTTTGATGAATGTCAATATCTATCTATTTTTGTCAATAAAAAAGTTTTGTCCAAACGACGAGACCATTGTGCGCCGAGCATAAAGCGAGTGCATTTCATACACTAAAAAGAGAGAGAGAGACTTAGACTTTCATTTTCCCCATCCTCACAATTATATCGAGAAGTTCGTAATTTTGCACGCGAGACTACGATTCGAGAATATTTTACGCCGCTTTTTGTCGTCGGTCCTAGAGGCGCCGGTTCGTTCTCTCTTTCTCTTTGTTCACCCTTTGCATGCGAATGCGCACAGGCCGCGAGGATGCGCGCGCGACAAACTTTTCCCTTAATTTCGTGGTCACGAAAACACGTGGTATTATCGGGAGAGAAAGAGAGAACGCCGGCCGAAATAAAACCACCCCGCTATCCGGTGAATCACATCCGGCCATATTCGCGCACAATCCCCCAACCCTCCAATTCTCTCTCCTTTTACGACTTTTACCATTATGTCAGACGTTTCACGTGCGCAATATTTTGGTCGAAGTTTATAATTCTGACATGGTGCACATATTCGGTCAGTTTTCGTCGATAGTTGCGGCTCAAATGAAATAATTGATACGGGGGAGGAGCACACATACGCTCGCGTTTTAGAGCAATATTTATTAGATGCGTACCGCACGGCAAACGCACGATTTTACATTCCCCTCTTTTTTCGAGCCACACCTTCGGTCCGGCTAATGACAGTATTTTTCGCATATATGCTCGATCGAAAACGCGAGCTTGCGCGCATTTATGCGCTTCATCAAATATTTATGCGATTTTTATAGCAATACTCTGCAAAGGGACCTCCTCTCCTCCTCCCTAAACAACCTCACCCTTTTTTACCCAGTGAGAATAGTATACGGAGAAAGAGTCCGTGTACGATATTACTATAAAAATCCTGTGAATATTTGACAGAAGGAAGATGATCGGCGCCCGACAAAACACGGAGCTCGATTTCTCGACGATAAAAAATTCAATCGCGAATGACTCGCGATGCAAATTTTATGCAGCCACGTGACAGCGAGTGTAGAAACGCGTTGCGTGATTCCGATGCGTGCGCTCGCCGCAATAAACGTTTACGCGCGCGTCCATGCGCGAGTTTCGAGTTTCCCTTTCTTGCGAAGGGAAAAAAGAAAAGTGGACATTCCTCATATTGCGGGTGAAGGGCGTGCAGCCCTGTCATTTGGTCGCAAGTTGTCTGCTTTCTCTGCTTGAACATGTGCACCGCACTTTGCGCATTACCGTATCTCTTCATTAATGATTTACCCTTAAAAACACCGAGGCCCTTCTCTCGGGATCACTGTCAAGAAAAGGGTGAACGCCTTTTAACCATAGACGTTACAAAGGAAAAGAAGTGGCTTGTAGCAGAAAACTTTGCGATTTACCGTCATTATTGATAATCAAAGGTACGTAGGAAACGGTAAAAATGTTGGGGGAAAGGGACTTCATAACCGAGTGCGTTATTCTCAGAAGATTCTCAGAGTTTTGATAGTCGGGTGTAGAGAGACTAATGGAGACCGCGATCTTCGTAGCTTAAAATCGTCGGCAGCCGCTGGATGCGCCAATCAACAGGTTGTTGTACAGTATTTATCGCGCGCGCGTTCGGACCGAATTCTGGCCGAATTGTTCTCGCACCATTCGCCATCGCTGTAATAAGTACCACAGGGCGACAGAAATAAAGAAACCGATGGCGACACGGGATTGATCGAGGGAGAGATCAGGGCCTCTGATACCGAGCGAAGTGTCGTATTTCTGGCTGCTCACTTAGGGTCGCTCAATGCGGCAGCCACATCCGGTCCATTCAGGTCCATTCACAATCTCGTTGGGCTCAATAGCGTAGGCGGAGCCCGTGACAAGGAGTTGGTGCCCCATTGCGAGCGCACGCACCCCCGTCCTCTCCCTCATTCTCCGCGTGCCGAAGAGACAAGTATAAATGTGTGTGTGTATGCGTATGTTATACTACCGCTAACGGGGACTAACTTGGCGACAAATCGATCCATTCACGTCCGAAGCATCATTCAGCGAGTTCGTGTTGTCGCTCGTAAACGGGTTCCAACCAAAATACCGGCATTCTCGCAGACCGAGATTAACGCGCCCTTTCCACCGATTGTCATCGACAATGCCATGCTTACTCGCCTCTCGCGACAGCGACGACTCTTTCGCGAAACGCGAGAAAGTTGACGCGAAGCCTGTCTGTATCGAATAGATTGACGAGGGAATGATGAAGTGTCAATAAAGCATTTCTTGGCCAAATTGATAAAGCTACTATCCCGAAAAAATGCCTATCAATCTCAGAAAGATTAAATTGCACTAATATATTATTTCAAACAATTTATATTTTAAATACGCGAAAATATGAAAAAAATAAGCTCTTGTTTTTGCATTTACTTTTCACTATACTTCATTTTAAATTTATAGAAAAAAATTTGAAGATCGATTAATAAAATAAAACACTTTTTTTCAGGTAAAAAAAAAAATTTAATACGTAAAAACACTATATTTTTTATATTATTCCAGGTCGCATCCTTTACGATATACCTTGTAAAGTTTGCCGAGATCACTCCTCGGGAAAGCATTATGGCATATTCGCATGCGATGGATGCGCTGGCTTCTTTAAACGATCGATTAGGAGGAATCGGCAATACGTGTGCAAGGCGAAGTCCGAAGGGGGTTGCATGGTGGATAAGACACATCGGAATCAATGCCGAGCCTGCAGGCTAGCAAAGTGCATTCAAGCCGGCATGAACAAAGACGGTAATTTCTATTATTTCAAGTCGCATCTTTTATGATATACCTTGTAAAGTTTGCCGAGATCACTCCCCGGGAAAATATTACGATATATTTATATGGATGTGCTGGCTTCTTTACGGCAATACATGTGCAAAGCGAAGACCGAGGGGGGTTGCATGATGGATAAGACACATCAATATCAATTTCGAGCCTGCAGGCTAGCAAAGTGCATTCAAGCCGGCATGAACAAAGACGGTAATTGAGGCGTCGACGTTCTCACGGCAATGTTGCAGCCATTCCATTTGCGTTATTCTTTGAGAGCCTCTTTAGCAAATCGTAAAATGTATTTCAATATAGCCAAAAAATACGTCAGATTTCCGTTCATCCGATCGCTAATTAATTACGTACGTCTTAATAAGCGAGAAAACACATACTATTCCTGTTATAGCCGTGCAACACGAACGAGGCCCGCGGAATTCAACAATTCGTAGACAAATGGCGCTATACTTCAAAGAACCTGAAATGATGGCCAGCCTAGTGGCGCCGTCGACAGCTTTAGATCTCGCTTTACCCAAAGCGCCGACAGAATCACGCGTTCCTGTGCCTGGACCATCGCCTCATCCTCCCCTCACGCATCCTGCATATTGCAACGCGTTGGCAATGTCAAAGGTATGTTCGTATTCATATAAATTCGCGAGTCAATTCTTTCAAAATATCTCTATAGAATTCGGATCTTTACGTATCATCTAAATGTATCTACAAAATCTAGACATATTTTTATAGAATAAATATATGTGTGTTTATAGATATACACATTTACAAAACGCGAACACGATTCTATCAAATCGAGAAATTTCGACATAAAAAATTGATTTTTACCAGCGAGAAAACATCGCTTTCGTTTTTTTAGATGCCACCAAATATAGCAAATTTACACGCAATGCCAATAATCCCTCCGATCGCCGCCGAGTCTATGTGCGAGCAAGCAGCGAGATTGCTGTTTTTAAACGTTCACTGGGCACGGGATTTGGCGGCGGGCACGAATCTCGTCATAGATGATCAACTGACGCTACTCGAATCTTCCTGGCGCGAACTCTTCTTACTGGCCGCGGCGCAAATGCTGCCGGCCCTGGACCCCACGCCCTTGCTACCGCCTCAGGGTATCGGGCTGGCGATCGAGGTGACTCGTTTTCGCGAGACTCTGGCTGGTTTCAACGCGATGAATCTAGACCAGCACGAATTTGCCTGTATTAGGGCGATAGTGCTTTTTAAGGCCGGTCTGGACAGCGAGCCGATGTCCAGCGGCCGCAGCACTAGCAGCTCCAACTCACCCAGTCCCGGAAATCGACTTAGAGATCCGGCCTCCGTAGCCCGGTTGAGAGACAGTGCGCAGCTGGCGCTGGGACAGCGACTCAGTGGGGCCTCTTTCGGGGCCCTCAGATTCGGCAAATTGCTGTTATTGCTGCCCAGCTTGCGCTCCGTATCCACACACGCTATCGAGGAACTCTTCTTCAGGCGGACCATCGGTATTATCCCGATCGAGAGGATCATCTGTGACATGTACAAGGCGTCGTAACGTCGTGAAAGCGTCCAGAAACATCGAGCACGGAAGCTAAAGAGAAAACGTTTGTTTGTTATGTTTTTCTTTTATCTATAAAGTTGGCATTATTTTAATATTCAATATTGATGTTCTCTATTTATATGAAGAGAAGATAAGAGAGAAGATATAGTTCATCTAATTTTTTATTTTTATTCTAATTACTTATTTCTATATTTCATTCTTGTCATTACCAAATTAGATCAAACTAAATGCTATTTTACTTCTCTCTCTCTCTCTCTCTTTATTTATACAGATCTTTATACAGATATCTATATACAGATATAT